AAAGAAGTGTATGGAGAGATGCTTAGTGGATTTAAAAACAATGGTAAAGTAGTTAGTCACAATGATCTGAAGGGCTTATCACCGATAATGCTTGATGGGTTACTCTGTGTTGGAGGCCGACTAAGCTACCCAGATTTCTCAAATGCCTTTAAACATCCAATAATATTGCCCAGTCGACACTTAGTGACAGAAATGATAATTAGACATTATCATAAGGAACAAGGGCACACAGGAACGTCACAAGTACTGGCCACGACTCGAAAAAGGTATTGGATAATAAAAGGAACCAGCACGGTTAAGAGAGTGGTAAGAAAGTGTGTGACGTGCCGGCGGTATACGATGGTTACAGGGCAACAATCGATGACACCACTTCCAGCTTGTAGAGTGCAACAAGGATGGTATAGCTTCTCAGCCGTGGGAGTAGACTACTTTGGACCTCTTTTTGTCAAAAGAGGAAGATCATTAGAAAAAAGATATGGATGTGTGTTTACTTGCTTGCAAACCCGAGCAGTACATATTGAAATGACACATAGTTTGAATACTGATTCGTTTATAATGGCCTTGTTACGTTTTATTGGAAGAAGAGGGAAACCTGCCGAAATTTACAGTGACAATGGGTCAAATTTCGTGGGTACGGTCTCTGAATTAAGGAGATTTGTGCAACAGTTGAATCAACAGAAAATAGACAAAGAACTGTCAGCTGGACAAATTCAGTGGCATTTTAACCCGCCCTCATCCAGCCACAGGGGTGAAGCTTGGGAAAGGATGATAAGGTCCACACGCCGGCTGTTATTGTTGATAAATAGAGAGCAGACTCTAACCGATGAGGCTTTAAACACTTATTTGATCGAGATTGAAAGGATATTGAACGATCGACCCTTAACTCCGGTCGTCCAAGATGCCAACGATAAACTAGCCTTGTCGCCAAATAGTTTGTTATTATTGAGAGAATGTGACGGAATAGTCGAAGAAGGTAGCATCAGAGATAAATATGACAAACGTTGGAAACAGATTAATCATCTTGCTAATGTGTTTTGGAAAAGGTGGTTAAGAGAGTATTTACCGTCCCTACAAAAACGTCAAAATTGGTTAGTTGAACACCGCAATTTTCAGAAAGGGGATGTAGTGATCGTAACTTCGGACATATCGACTCGTGGAAAATGGCCCTTAGGCGTGGTTGAAGATTATGAAATGGATGACGACGGAAGAGTTAGAACAGTGGTTGTTCGTACGAACGGTGGATTAGTCAGGACAGATATACGTAGATTATGCCTCCTAGAAGGCTCGAATTAGTTCCTCGTGTTATTAATGTAGTTAGGTCGAGTAGGCGTACTGTTGTAAGTCCTACTCGTTCCTATGGTGTGACATGTTATATAATGAACCATGACCGTAGGCGTCAAGGTAGCTTGTGTGGTATGGAGGGATTTTGGGGGCCAGTGTAAGATCCATTTTGAATGTGTTGTGTGTTGGTGAAAATCCCTCCATGTATATACTTGTACTTTATTCCTATGGATCACATCAGTTGTACATTGTTGTATTTTGATTACATTTGAATTGTTAATATTTGTACTTTTGTTATAGTTTTTGTTTTTATTACGCATTCACTAAGTTTGTGTTTCTTCCTGAACTGCATCTGCGTTGTTTTACTTGACACTTGTTCTTGGAGGTAGCCATATTGATTTGTTCCTCCTGTTGTGTGTGATCTATCCAGTTAGGATAGAATAACGTTCATTTGTTGTGATTGGTAATTTCTCCTCATCTTCTATCAACTTCTTTATTGTAATTTAGATTTAATTGATTGAACAATCATTGGTTGAATAGCCGGGTGATAATATTTGTTTAGGTAATGATTTACATTAAATTTATTATGAATTATAGAACCGCTAGTTACCCGATTACTTGTTCTGATTTCGACGGAAAAGGGCGCGTGTCTAAAGTCACGGAAGGCTATTCCTCAACATCCAAACCGTGGTTTGGATCTTACACGATCGAACGATCATATCACCCATAGTTACCTCGAGAAATAATTGAGTGTTTTTCGCTGCTTAATTAGTTTCAAAGGGAAGCAATTAAAATCATTAATTGCATCTCAGTGCTCTCGAGCACTTATTTATGTCTGACTTAAAACCCGTGTTATGGTATCAGGTGACTTTGTAGAATAATAGACTACCATGATATTAGTAGTACTCTATTAATAGACCCTAAAATTGTAGGTTTGTCATGATATAACTGCTTAATTTATAAGATCTTACATGGAAGTCACATCTACGTCTACACCATCTGACTGCATCGTGACAATCACCCATACATGATGGAGAACAAGATTAGGCTAGAGATAGAACAATGTATTGAATATGAATAAAAGACATGTGGTATCATTCAACAGAGACCACGCCCGCAAGGTCAAGACATGCCATCCGATCAATTCGAATTAATTCAATTCATTGTTCCCGCCTTCTCCATCGTTAGGTTTTCTCCGCGTTCAATGTTGAACATCTATTTCCCCAATTGCTCCGTGTTCAGCTTTGAGGATTGTGTAGTTAACGCCCAATGCCAATACAATTTAAAAGCGCTTCAGTAGATACCTCATTTAACAATGGATGCACGGCATTAACCCTTGCAACTTGTCTTTTTATTAGCAAGCGCAGTTGTCGAATTTCGGTGAAAATTAATATTAACTCACTGGTGTCCGAGTCTCATATATTTCTAGTACAACTGTGAATCAGGAGGCAATTTATTCATTCTGAGTCACATTTTGACCTTGTTAATTATTCATTTATCAACCTTGACTGCTGTCATATGAACGTATGTGTGTGTACACTTCTAGTCCTATTTATCACATGTCTGTAACTTACTTTTGTATGACTACAAATATTGATTAACACTTGGTGAAATGGGGTTGGCACACATGCCTTCTCCACTGCGCGATATTTCGCTTTGCTCTCTTCTCTTTGCTCCTCCGATATTTTGTCTGGATCAAAGATTGGATGGAATATCCGAATTCCAAATTCATTCTCGCATTTGACTAGTTTAATTCCGTTATTGACTAATACGATTGAAGTCGATAATTATATACGAAGATTGACGGTATATATATCACGATAGCAATCAGAAGTATTCTCGCGATCACCATTTCTGACCACAAATTGTCAAACTTTAAACGTAAATCTCATTTATCTATTTTCGGCTTAAAGGATAATGTATATGAGAACCATTACCTCTACAAACTCACGGTATAGTCTTATTAGTTGTCCAATCCGTTGTATAAGCAAGCGGTTTTCCTGGCCTGTCGTCATTACTGATTTTATTGTGGGCCAGAATTATTATAATATTCGGGGGATAGTGTAGCGCCTCGGAAAAGTCAGGATGATTTAGCTGTTCCTCATTGGCTACAATGCCTTCGATCACCTTTTGATGAACATGAAAATGACAGGTATTTGGAGTTTTGACAACACTTTAACCAGTAACGCCTCCTACTATAAAATCGTACCTATTAAGGGAAATCAAAAAGCAGAAGCGAGGAGGTTCGAAGATATATTTGAAAGGCTATCAATATATCGTGGATTGACTGAACTAATCTGGCTAGCAATTGCAGGGGATGTTGAGCACAGCGTTCCTTCTCGTGATCTGGTGCGGATGCATGACTGAGCACCTTCAGCTAAATGAGTCCATTAAAGCTAGTGTGGTCAACATCCAATGTCGAATACTTACACAGCTATTCACTCTTGGAATTTATTTACCACTACAATCACTTGGCATGAAGATGTGGCCAAATTCGCTGTGAATAACACTTGTCATGAGTTGTCCAACGTACATTGATACAAGAGTTATCATCAGTCATATAATATATGCTAGATGACCTTGACATATCTACGACTGTTAATTCTACGATTCTGGACATAGTACTTTTTTGGTCGTGATTCTTGTGTGTGTGCACAGCAAAGAAGCCGTTATCTACAGAAGACCTTGAGCTGTAAAAATTTTAAGGATGTCATAGATAGACAACGTTCAAGAACGCAGATGTACGTAATATCTTGATAGTCTTGGGTCCTAAAGCTAGCGAACGTAGAAATCAGAATGAGCTAGAATGTATCCAGTTGATCGAATGAATCGCAGAGTCTTACGAAACGATTTATTTTGCGGATATTTGCGGAGCATGGTTTTAAGATATCATGAGCATTCGGGGTATGACAGCGTATTATGCCAACCCAATCGACTCAGAGGTTAGAAGCGAAGAGTTTCGAAGATAAATTTGATATAGTATCGAGAAGTGATCAATCTAAGCGGTGTAGCAGTTATGGGAGATGTGAAGTAGGGCGTACCCACTCATGATCTGATATGGATGCATGAACGGGAGCCTTCAGCCAGGTGGCCTCAGTAAAACTAATGCAGTCAACACCAAGTGTCGAAGACCTACAGAGCTACTGATTTTGAGTATTTATTTACCACCACACGATAAAGAATGTCAAATAAACTGAATCAGAATAATAATGTTATGTGAGGAGTGAGTACATAATCTGAGTCTATTCTACTTATGTATAAAAAAATAGCCTTCCAACCGAACAACAGAAACCATTGAGCCTTAATTTTCTTCTTTTCGAGGAACTGAGGATTTATTAGAGGATTTCTAAACGTATCATAAGCCCAGAACAAATGAATTGTCAGCTGATAAACAAATTTTCGATCAGACCATCGGAGAACATAAACTAATTCCCGTTTCATAGACGCTGAATCGATTGAGTGGTCTTCATTGCTAGAACTTACACGAGACTTGCAGATTACTATCTTTTCTGAACTAACAACCTTTTACAATGAAGTATTTTCAATAGAATAACTCAAGACAAGATAGAATTAGCCTCTGAATCATCAAAAATTTGGAAGAAAACACATTTTCATGCCTTAAACTTTTACTGATCGTCAAAGTTGGTTTGTTTATATTGCTCAATAAATATTGATAGATTTAAGTCTATCTCTCAAAAGTGTAACGTGTTCTTGTAGGAATGAAGAAATATTTGGATGCTACCAGTACAAAGCTCAGTAGGGCTTTGCAGGTTTGTTTTAAATTTTAAAAATCGGCTACCTCTCTTCAAGAAAACAAATGAAGTCATAGGAAGAGCTGAAACGACAGAATTCGATGAGGATTTTGTCTCACTATTAAAGCAAGCAGAATCCACACATGAAGCATCCAAGCACATTATGGGGGCCATCGAGCAGTGGATCAACCCATGTGTCTGTAAATTGCACTTTATCGACAACCTAATGACTCTTTATTCATAGTAAAAAAGTTCGATGATATCGGTCAGTTCACTTTAAAACCTCATTTTATCCTTAAGAAATAACTTTTCAGTTAACTTAAGATAAGTGTATGCTGTTCGTCTTTTTTGTATGGTGTTTTTTCCATATTCTACTATCATGTTTATCGTCCGCCTTGATCTCTGAGAGCTCAACATGTCACTTATTCTGAGAAAAAGCGGTTTCAGTACACAAGCACTTAAGGACAATTTTGACTTCACTAGAATGTTAAGATTTTGATTCCTTGATGAGTAGTATGCACACAGACCTCAATCTATCACGTTTAGAGTTGAGTTCGTTTGGCATAAGTGGAAACTCTTAGTCATGGTTCATTCACTACTGAAAAAGATGTTACCATCGCAACCGTTTACTGACTGTCATGTTTTGACGTGTTTACATAGATATTTGTGTAGCAAAATGATACTCACTTTACGATGTAGCCTAAAATCAACATAAATTGTTGGATCTGTGAAATACCTACTAAAGACCACACGGAAAGATAAATCCGGAAAAGAAATTTTTCTGTCAATTTCATTCCATAAAAATAAAAGTTGGATTATCCTATATTGAGTTTTAAAAGTTTATTATGATACAGTCTATCTCGAAATCCTCTCAACAGTCTTCAAAATGTACAACTATCTTCCTAATTTTGTATTTTGTTAAAATTGTTGGAAAATACATTTACCTAAACAGTGTGTTAAAATGAAATTCATGAATGCAAACATGGTTTGTGGTAGTTCATCGTTTGGCCTCAAGATGCATGAAGAACATATTAACAAATATGAGCCTGATGGCTGAGTTGATATTTTCTCTCTGATAGAAGATATACAGTTAAATGTAGACATCCATCATTTGACCTCATGTTATAATCCAAATCTACAGAGACGTAACCTTTAAAGTTAGACAAAGTTACGATCTTCAAAAAACTGAATACAACATTTATCTATCATATTACACTTCCCCCTGAAAATGCTCAACAGTGAAAGTGTTGGTGTTCCACTACTGACAAGTAATAAAGCACTATGTTAGCTGATAGCGTATGTACTAATATTCGATTTCTGCTCCGGAGTTCTAACCAATCCTCTAATTAGTAGTATTAATGACTTTTATACTACTAACGTAGGAATCGTCTAGTATGTGAATCCACATGCCTGAACACTGCAATATTTATCATATTTCGTCAAAATTTAAATGAAATCATTGAATTTATACTTCGTTATTTCATTTAGCTTGCAAAGTAGAAAGTATGGTCACAGATAATAAAAGTTATTGGCTAAAGGTTCCTGCAAAGTTACCTGCCGAACATCTTGGAGACACACTACTCAACGCAGCTGTTGGTGTCGGAGCTGGTACTGCATATGGTAAGTTCACAAAATATAGCCGCGAAACCAACTCCCCACGTTACTTACAGCGTTTAATTAAACACTAATTCTGTACAATAATAGTCAAAATATCTTTCTTCTTTCCTGAAATGAATAACAAACAGGCCTCTTAAAAATGCACACACATTTCAGATTTATGGTGGCGAAAGTATCGTCTACTTCTTTCCGGCCCACCAATTCACCGGAGCAGAGGTTCAATAAATGAATAAAAAGTAAATATAACCCACTGAAATGTGTACAGTGTCTTGTATCGTGACGGCCAAATATATATCATTATATTATTAGTGCTGACAGTTGGTATCTCATATAAAACAAGTACTGTTGATTTAAATCCTTATCATGGTTTACGAGATGCATGTGTGTGCAATATTTAATTGTTAACACAGCTCAAGAAGAGTTTATCACTTTCTACTTTATACGTCTGCCCCACTTTTTTCTATGCACCTAGAAAACGCTATTCATTTACTGTAGAATCACTTTCTCATGGAATTGAAGGTATCTTTTACTCTTCACTAATAAAAGATAAAGGACATTGGAAGTAGTTGAATCCATATAATTTTGGGAAAAAAATTTATTAAATGTGTCACGAAAGGTAAGTGGTAACAAGTTTGCCATTTTATAACCATGTTAACTAGTGTGAAAGATAAGTAATTTGCTGATGATTTTTATTACAGATCTAAATTTTCAGACACTGTATTTAGGTAACGTTGACATGATAGCAATTTTATGTTCCACGTTATAATATGATCTAAGATGTGTTCGTTGATTTTACTTGATGATTTAGTTAAGTTTTTCAGAATGTACCTGGCTTTTTAGATGAAGATAAAAAATTATGTAGCTTAATAAGTATTGCAGAACTGGCCATGTATTCATTAAACTTTTCAATCAATAAATAAATAACAATTTTTGTAAAATCAGTTGAGAATCAGTATGAATAAGTCCACCTTACTTTATTTGTTAGATTAAAGTCACCAAGTCATCTTAATGAGCCTTTTTAATACAAAACCTAATACTGGTTCAATATTGAGAAGCAAATTATGCGAGTATTTCAACCAAAAACAAACACTCAAAGTAATATGGGTTAGCTGGTAGATTAATATCAAAGACTAGTGGTTGCAAACTTCCAATATTCTGAACGAATAAGTTTTACCAATGTGTTTGCAGTTGAGTTACATTTAAGTGACCATAAATTCCCTTATAAGCTACATTTTTACGAACCGTAGTAAAATATAGAATCAAACAGAAATACAAGTTTAAAATTAATTAGGAGTACGAATTTCAATGTTCAGTAAAATTCGCCAAGATTTCACGATAAACAGATTTTTATTAAGACAAAACAATAAATTTTCCGGAAGTAAATTAGATTTCGGGAATAATAATAACAGTATTCATAAACAATTATACCCTCAATACATTAATAATTGCTAGACTTTTTTCAGTATTCATTTCAAACAGTTAATGATCCTAATTATCTAATCCATACATAGTAGGCGTTTTTCTACGAAAGTAATTGTTGCCGTCATGTGATCTGCAATCCACATTGTGTATCGTTTTCAATGGAGCTATAGTACTGATTACTTGTGACTTGATAAATCCATGATTTGAACGGTTTTTTTCAACCGGCATGTTGCCAGGTCAAAGTCTGCTCTTTACAAATTTATTCTAGTAGCGTAGTGCTACTACTAATTTTTTCCATAGTGACTGTTGCTTAATGCACAGTTCAATCATTGGTGAGTTGGTAAGTGAATGAGCTATGGACGGTTCTAAATCGATAGGTTTCATCATTAGCTAATCTGAAAACTCTTGTAAAGATAGAGTTTTGATGTTTAATTATGAGCATTAGATTCTACGTTTTTCAATAGTAAAAAAATACTGACAAATACATGACGCTTAGTTTTATCATATAGTCGATTGATACATACCATCAGTACCAATTTTTCGATTTAAGCACTCAAATGAATTGTCATCAAAAGATATTACAATTGGCCGGTCGATAAATTATCTAGTTCGTTAACATTTTTTGGAATAAAATATTGAACACAGATGAAACATGGCTGCGATTTATTTAAAAAAGGCAATGAGAAGATACAAATTTAGAAAAAAAAGCACTTACTGGGCAAGTTGATAATGACCTGAGTCTCAAACTTAGTTATTGCCCTTCATATCACAAAACATTATAAACTGGAGAATATTTAACCATCACAATTCGTTTTAAAAATGAACAACGCTTTACATCCTTGTTCTTTTCTGCTAAGTTGGATTTTAAAAGTTCTGGTCAGTAAACCGACTTTTACAAAGTAGGATACTAAATGATTAGAAAAAATATGTTTTAATAAATGCTAATAGCCGTATTATTCTCGATTTAATCTACTTATTGTGATCAGTACTGAAAACTAATTCCATATACACAAAATGTATTACATCTGATAGATGTTCTCCTTTCATTCGAGCGCGTAAACTGATGGGTACACTATGAACCATAATGAATTGTTTTGTGCTTTATGTACAGCTGGACCGTTTAAATAATATGAGGTTTTTTGATATTATTATTTTACATTTATTCTACATTTGAGTTGTTCATTTTCAGTACAATCTCCGAAAAATATTAAAGTAATTTGTATGAAATTAGAAATAATTAATCATTGGAAAAGTCAGTTTTCAACAAAGATCATAAAGTTCACATGGTATGGTTTACTTGAATCTTCCTATTGATATTCAGGACTAAAATTTATCAGTCTCTTATTGACATATGTGCATACTGTGCGTATTGCCTCGATATTGCTTTAATTCACAAACATTATAAGCAAAGATGGATAGTAATTATTTATAGTATTTATATTATTATACTAAATAATTCCACTGCTAGCCACTATACATCTTTGCTTAGAAATCATTAAGTGTTTAGCACCAATGTTCACTTGTTCTCAGATTATTCTTTTTAAACTTTATTCAAAATCTATTTATATAGAATTAAGAATGGAGCTCTATTTATTGTTTAAATTACTGCCATAATAACTTTTCCTACATTTGAATAGGAATGGATCAATTTTGAAATTTAAACAAATTATGATAGCTAAAACTGATTAACAGTCACTGTAATATATGAATAAGTTCTATGGTTAATTACTAAAATCCACGTTTCATGCAACACATTTTCTAATCTGATAAGTTACTGTAGGGCCAGTGAAATGTCACTAAACCCTAGCCAAATCATCCGGCAGTTGAGCCATTGAATATCGAGCAAATCATCGATCCTCGTCAAGGTCAGGGACGACCAACGCGCATCAGTTAGTCGTATGCCATGGACTGTCCCACGCAGCAGTGGTCTTACTTTCGCCTGTATCTACTTAAACTAATATATTTCTGTAATAACGTCCTCTGTGTTGTACAGTCTTCAAAGCATCTATGGTACCTTGATACGTCAATGGGGTAGTCCACGTGAGGTGCTGACCACGAGGTGTGACTTCGACGTTAGCTAGTTTGTCACACCATTCACGTCTAACTCGAGTAGGCCCTCAATCATTTCGACATAGATCATTTACGTTGGTGTTCTACATTACCATTTATGTGTTTCTTGTATCAAACCCTACAAGTTAAAATCAGTGCGTCAAACTGTATAACAATAAATAACCTGAACAAAGTATATTCTTTTCAATAAATTCATTTTACATTCTATATTAAACACTAACCATTTCAAAAACATAAATTTTGATTTAATTTTATTGTACATGTTAAATTTATGCATTGTAAATACTTAAAGGATCTATTTACCTTTGAAATTGTCTATTTCATTGAAGTATTCATTTGGATTTCTAACAGTAGAAGCTAATAGGCATTACAAACATTTCATGCAATTAGTTCCTTTTATGAATTTAAATAAAGCAAGAACAAGTATTGATGCAGAATAGTATGAATTCATAATATTTTGAGGTTTCTTGTCAGCGGCTTACAACCACTGATATGTAATAGAATTTTACATTGAGATAAGAAATAGTATAGGACAACTGACATAAATGAATGTAAATAACTGGAATGACAAAGGTTTACAATGACAACTATATATATGCAAGAACAGGCGATAGGTTATTAGGTGTTATCATCAGGGAAACATTAAGGATGGATGGTGTAACAGTTTTATCTTATCTGTCTCTGAACTCCACTCAGCTATTACACCATCCATCCTTAATGTTTCCTTGATTATAACACCTAATAACCTATATATATATATATAGTTATCATTGTAAACCTTTGTCATTCCGGTTATTTACATTCATTTATGTCAATTGTCCTATACTATTTCTTATCTCGATATAAAATTCTATTACATATCAGTGGTTGTAAGCAGCTGACGAGAAACCTCGAAATAATATGAATTCATACTATTCTGCATCAATATTTGTTCCTGCTTTATTTTAATAGGCATTAATTGAAAAACTATTCTTCATTCATTTCATTAATATTTTTGTGTTAATGAAGTGAGAATTCTTCAAGTTAAATGAATGATGCTTTTTAAAGAGAGAAAAAATAACGCATAAATCGATTCTTTGACCTGAAATTTATCATCTTTTTTTCTTTTCTCCTTACCTTTGCCTATTTCTTGGCATATTGTAACATTAGTGCTCACCTCTTTCGTTATCTACCACCATCTGGCTCTATTCATTGTTATAATGTTTATAATTGGTTGTATATTTTATTCATTTCTATTTTTCAAATTTAATTTAACATCTATTCAAAGTTAAATATGTTAAACATCTTGTTTATGAATTAATATATGGCATAGATCAAATTAGGAACCATTAAAAAAGAACTTGAACTAAACGTTAATATAGTCCACCTTTTGCGATTCATTTTTATTCTCCTGTTAGATGCCCAAAATTAATTAGTGCTGAATTAGTTGTCTATCATTTGGTTGACATTTTGAAATTTACTCTTTCTGGTTAAGTTTTGAAAAGTATGTAGTTTTGCTAGAGCTCATACAAAAAGTGTGACTCAAAGTCAGATATATAAAGCTGATTAGTGAGTTACATTAAATCAAATTAAAATATACCCTATAGCCTATTTACTAGTACTAGTTTCGTTTTGTTTATTAAACTTTAATTCATAGATTAGTCTAAGTGAATCGATATTGAGATACATAATGTATCTTAAAATTTCATGCAGTTCTGTTATCATTGATTATGTGCAATCTAAAATAGGTCTTGATTTCTTCTGAATATAGTTAATGTTGTAGATTACTGGTCATACTCACAGACTTAGAACTAGAGGCTTGAAAATGTGACGTGATTTTTGAAAATTTAACATAAATCTCTCTGTGAACTTGTTGTTTTTTGAAAGATAGCAGTCATTACAAGAATATGTAAATGGGAAAGGAATAGGCTGCACTCTCGTTTGCAATTTTGACTTAGCACCTGGAGATCAACCAAAATGAAGCGGTAATTATTATTTACACCATTGTTACCCATGATAGAGTGCGTGTTTCGTTTTCTGTCGTTTTTGCTGGCATACACAAATAGTATAAAATTTTCTATGATAAAAATATCACTCCATCATGCTACGGAGGTGTCAATTGTATAGCAATCAGTCATGATTGAAGAAAAATTGCAACATACTTGCATTCATACTTCCAATCAGTTTGATAATAGGAACTATTCCAAATCACCACTTCAATCATTCTCATCCTGTGTACGTTCACTGATTTGATTTAAATAGTAAAACAAAACAACAGAAAAGTTTCATGTATTACGATTTAAAATAAATAACTACATGAACCAAATCATTTGCAGATATTTAAAGAGCTGAACAAAAACGTCTAGATTTAGACAAAATTCAAGTTGATTTTATTTCAAGTAAGTATAAATAGTCAAATAAGGGTTATTTCAATCAGTCAGTCAGCTACAACGTAGGACCAGGCACATATATGCATCGGTCCAAGTTGCCATACCTCATCAACACAACAAGATGAACACCAGATTCATAAAAGTAGTTAATTCAGAGGTGGTAATATATAAAAGAAAGACTGCATATAAGGACATAGTGCAGGAGAAAAGAATTAGTTCGTAGAAAGAAAGATATGAAGCGATTTTAATCTCTTACTTTAAGGGAAGACAGAGAGTGTATACACCGACGCCATTAAGGGTTATTTACATACCTATCTATCACATGATCATTAGACGACATACTTGTTCTTCTAGAAAATCCTAATTATTTGAAAAATGAATCAATTCATTCAATTTCATAGTAATGACCAAATAAAGTAAACAGATGAGACTGAAATTGATTTATTTCCTCTATTCTTTTTATGTAATATGCTATCAGCATTAACGTTGATGCATACATTTCAAACTTTTTCTCCACCGATACATCTGTTTGTAAGCTTTTTTTATAGCACAATTTTCAATACCGACATGTATTATTTTTTTTGGTCATTCATTACAAACTTTGAAACTTTGCGCTAACTTTCCGAAAAATATACATTTATATTCAGAATTTCTATAGTACACATTCCTAACTGTTTCTAATTGTGGCTCCTCAATACTATTAATCTAATTCCTAACCCATTATTTTTTCAGTCTTCATTCTGTTTTGTGTCCTGCGCTTCTCATGTTTGAATTTCCACTGCAATTGAAATCAACCCCTCCCTCACTTTGTGAACTTGAAGTGTATACCCAGTTACCCTAAGTTCCACTTTGACGACTGATTAACATTGCACTTCATACAGGTTGATTGTATATGTACAGATATTATCGATTAAATTCTAATAGAACTTGGAATGATCTGTACTATTTGGTAACTAGATTTTTTTACATCCTCGATATAAATATAAATTATGATACAAAATGACTGGCATAAATCAAATTTCCATCGTATATTATGATTTCTAACGTAATCAATATCACCGTTCGGTTACACAGTTTTTAGATAGTTTCGTTATTCTTGTCTTAAACTTTAGATCATTATCATGTAATGAAACCTTAAAGTGATTATTTCTAATTTCAGAAACGTATTCCACTACATGGGGGTTGTTAACTTAAGCTACATACAGATTAGTGAGCATTCAAACAGTCATACAGGATTATGTAGTTCTATTTCTATATTATGATTCTGCATTTTTTGCTTGCTCGATTTGTCTCATTCGATTATTTTTAAATACCAGTATCGGTTTTTCCTATTTTTAAGAGATTTTCTCATATTACCTGTACTAATGTAAAGTGTAACAACATGAAGTGGTAAACTACTGTGTTTAAGGTTATACATCGTTTCAGTCCAGCCATTAGTCAGCTTATTACTTGTGAACAAAAACGAGCGAGTGTATATCTTTGTGTGCATCCAAAGTTTAATCCTAATAATAATGCAAATAACCATCTGCCAATCTTAGTCAACTCACTTGTGGGACAAGTAACCTTAACGATATAATGATACAGTTCATACGTAAATTACAAGTTTTTGTAAAGTTTATATGAGTACTGGTGTTAGTGTTCATCTGTCCAAACCTAAGTAGACAAGAGAGGTTAAAACTTACGCATTAAACGTTGAGTAACTTATTAATCAGGCTGCAGCTCGATGAAAATAAATGCTTATTATACTATACGTATCCCATGACTTAGAAATATAATTTACAACTTTTATTTATTGAATGTATTCAACTACCTGATCATCGAATTATACCACTGACTCAATAACACAGTGAATCCTACCTCAACAAATTCAAATGATATCTAATACAAAACAATAGCTACTAAGCTACTAAGTTTTAACTTGATCGGGTTTCTTTTTTTCATTTTAGGTGCAGCATTGTCACAATGTGGTGAGTACAGCCGTCAAATAGCTGCAGCTGAAAGTCAAAGGAATGCGATACTAGAAAAGAAAACATTATGTGTATTACATCATTTTTTGGCACTAGAATGGCCTGAGATACAAGTAAGTTATTGTTCAATTTGCTTTGTTGATTTATTTGTTTTTTTATTGAATACCAAGTTTCAATGGTATAGGAGTAGGTTGGAAGAAAGCTAGGGGCGGCCAGACCAAAACATGGCGCAAGTCCATGAAGTCACTGACAAGTGGACTGAGTCATGTTGGTAGGTGTAGACTAACTGGTTGGGGACCGCGAGATGATAGCAACCGATGGTTAGAGACCTTGAATGACATGGTTCAAAATCGTTTGCAATGACGCAGGTGCATCCACTCTTTGTGTTCTCTCAAATTTTAATCTCCTGATTCCTCCTTGTCTCTTTTTTCTCTCCCCAAACTTATTTCACTGTATTATACTCTTTAAATAACAGCTCTAAACCCTAATCTTCCGAACTACTGCTTGTACTGTTACTACCTCTATCACTACGGGATTTGAATCGACAACTGCCTCTCTGTGTTAATGTGGTATGGCAACTCGAACTGATTTATGTACGTAGGAAGTTCTACGTTGTTACCGACTGACTGACTTTAAATAGAATTCACTAGTGAACTCATGTATATGTTTACTTATCTAATATATATGTTCTGAAAAACATTTACAATTAATCCTCTTTTGTTAAGTTCCTTTCTTGAGTTACTATATCTAATCAATACGCATATGTTCATGTGTTTTTTTCTCTCTTAATTATTCATATAATGTAGAATATTGATTATGGTTAACAATGAAATATACTTCATTCACTGATTTTCAATTAATCGATTTCCTAGCTTGTCAATAATTAGATTTCATGTAATTGAAAAATGATTATGATTAGATTCTTCTTTTTTATTCTGATTGTATACAATGGTTATCATTATTGATTGACCTTAGACAATGAATTACGTCTTTAGCCTCCTGAAGCATATGATTGATTGATTGAAGTGTGTTCTGTGTTTTTTTTCTAAACATGTTCTGTTTTGTAACTTATTAATTAGTTTTTTTTCTTTTTTAAAAACTAACCAACTTAAAAGATGCCAAAATTTCTTAATTTATACAGTCTAATATACAAGTCATATGAGCATATTTGTTATTTAAGTGAGACCAAATAAACTATACTAAATCATCATTGTTTTGACGAAGATTACATTGTTCAACATAGTCAAAATGAACAAATATTTAACATTTGACTTTCATTAGTCAAAGCAAGTTTCGGTCACAACAATCGATGATTTTAGACTAAAACTGTTGAAAAGAGATTGATTCTATTCTTTTTTATGTGTTTTACTTTGAATTGTTTTTTATTGTGTTAGCAGTAGTGATTCATCAGTGCTATCCGAACTTAATTGCGAATTTCCTTGAATGTTAAGTACATCAATTGTTATCCAAATAATAACTATGCATTTTAGAGTTGGTGCTATTTATCAACTAATTCCAATCCCTATTTAAAAAAATCTGCATCACTGGAGCATCTTAAATCATCTATAATTTATTCCATTTTATTATCAGTTGTCATTGTCACATAAATGTGGAGATTAACTGAAAAGAGTTTTTCACTAATTTAAGGGTTTTGTACTCATCCAAGATTTCGATAAGTCACTGGACCTAATTCCAATTTGGGTGAATTTGCAAAAAGTAACAACTTACTACTAGGACATTAGGGAACTCATCTTGATGCTACAAAAATCGAAAGTAATTTCCATGACAAACTCATGAAAGGATTTAGTTTAATATACGCTACAATAAAATAAAATCGCAGTAAGTTCTAACGATATTTCTATAAGAAGCTGCTCTCTATGTAACGTTTGGGTTTAAAAGTAAAATATTGAGCCTTGAGCTATCTGGCTGTACAATGCCATATTATCTAAGCTAATAAAATTATCATTTATAAGGTTATTTATTGTATACTATACTTTACTTAACTGGTGTTATGCTTTCATTTGAATAGATGGTTAACGCTTTTTTGATCATCTGGTTTATATTCTTGTATATTACAAGTATCACATTATATTAACGAATGATCTTTAGTACTGTAAAATAATTATTTGTACAAGTCAATAAAATCAAAGTGTTGTATCCTTTATATTAAATCCAGTATAAAGCCTATCCAAAAATGTTTACCCTTATGACTCTTCAGTAAAATGGAAAATTGTTGTGTATGTGAACTTGTAATCAATTATCCATATTGATTGAATATGTGACCAAGTAATCATGATTAATCACTAATGTGAAAAATATTGATGTAAGCTCTCAACTAAACAAATGTTGATTGATTGAACAGCTCTTCATTTAAATCGTTTTTCTTCCCTGTAAAATAACACTGTTATCTACAAAGCGTTTCACTGTATAGTGATGATTTTGTAGGTCACTTATTAAAAAAAGATAGGCTTCTTTCCCTGAATATATGCCAAGTATGAATTCATGTAATCAACTTTGAGTTTGTGATACTACTATCCGGTTGATCAAATTGAAGCAGATGAGTTGGGGTTCGATTATGTAGTCCACTGATTAAAAGTTGAGTAATTTAATCATTAAGCCATTCTTTCATAGAAGTAATATAGTAGTGATTACAAATTACTAAATCCTTAACAATGATAATATGAAAATTATTTTCGTTACACAAGCTAGTGGCTATCGGGACTCAGTAGGTCAGTGAATAACGGAATGGTAGTTGAAGAAGTTAACTGGGTTTGAGCTTAAGTGTGAAAATTTGATCCTCTTTATCAGCAACGGGACAATTCAACCTTTACTAACAATGAAATAAAGATCATGCTTGCTAACTAGTTTTATCAAAATTTCATTCTTCTAGATCTTGTAGTTATAACTGTTACTTGGTTTAAATTAGTGTAATAGGATTTATGAATAGCTTGGTCGTTTCCTTAATTGATGTATATTTTACAAATATCCACCTTCGTCAGAATGACAATCAATTTCAACTTCTTCTCAATAAGCCTGTACAACACGATAGATGAAGAAAAGTAATCCGAAAAAGTAATAAAACAGCAAATCGAATTATTCTCAAGACTAATAAAAATACATTTATTGAAAATCTTGCTTAGTAAAGTTTAGATTTTCTTTTGATCAATCAAATTTTATAACTATTTCAAGAAGATTTTTGTGTTCTTGTGAAAAAGAAGCCTTCTTAATCGACTGTATCGAAAAAGACATATTTTCACACATATATATCAGTCAGTCAGTCATTCAACTACAACGTAGGACCAGGCACATATATGCATCGGTTCAAGTTGTTATACCGCATTAGCACAGCAAGATGAACACTGGATTCATAGAAGTAGTTAATTTAATGGTGGTAATATATAAAAGAAAGACTACAGGAAGAAAGAATTAGTACTTTTAAAGATATGAAGCGATTTTAACAATATATATCTAAGTATATTCTGAACTGAAACTGGCATCAGACTCATTAAATTTGCATTTTTTAGCAATATCATGTCTAATTAACCTTTATAACAGACGATAATATTCGAGTTCTCATAAAATGTGTTTTTAGACAGATACGGAGATGTCCAAATTAATTTTAGTTGTTTGCTTATATAATTTGTGTAAGTAATAACTACCTTGTAGATGGTTTGTATCATAGACTATTATCTACTGAGTTTTACTCTAATAGACATTTATCTATAATAATTATGTTAAAATAACCCCTTATATGTTTATCTTTTTACAGAAAGAACTTAGTCATTTGGAGTCGTATCGTTTGGATTATGATAAATTAAGAAGTAAAGTGAAGCATAATGAACATCCAGATCCTGAAGTAAACCTTATTCTAGACTTGTTTTTTGTCTTTCTAAAATAGGCAGTCATAAATTTATAATGACAGATTGAGTTATCTTACTATAAATAATTTATAAAAGATATTTAATTACTTTTGAAATTCCATATGAAAACATAGTTTCCTTTGATTGTTATGGTTTGTTAATTAAAACATTAGTTCATTATCAGTCAGAGGGATATGTTAACACCCTATATAACTAATCTATCATCTACACACCAATTAATTCACTAATCACATGCTAAAATATGCATAGCTCATATATACATGATTTTAAGGCACTTGTTTGATATATGTTGTATAGATTTCACCAGTCATATGATTAACAGTAACTTGGTTTTTCTTTATAATTCGTTATAAGGATAAAACGAATTAGTCGTTCAGTTGTTTTATTTTACAAAAATACAAATATTCCAGTAACATGAAACATTACTAAATATATCAATGTGCACTCGGTAATCCCCTGTTGATTTTTTTGTATAATATGTGGTGCACAAATAATTTTCAATGATCAGTATTGGCGTGGTTTGTCTGTTTGTTTATAACAGTATTGATTAAATTGAAGATTAAATAAACTTTTTATGCACCACATCAATGTCATGTTAAATGAAAGCGGCGACTGAAATTGGTACATTGAAGAGATGTGAAAGAATATGTATCTTGTTTGTACTTACTTTTCTATGATTTCTGGCAAGTCATTGGCAAAATCTATTAATTTTTATCTTAATTAATATCACTTTACTTCGGAATGTGTAGAAGTACCGTTGATGATATTTCTTTCGTTCGATTTAAGCGGCACAATAGTATTTATTAATGTAATTAATTTATTAACTACACAGCTATGTACTATGATCCACACCTTGGGAATTAGAGCTAGAGGTAGTACGCTGCTTCCCGAACTAAAGATATTTGTGATCGGGTTCGAACTGTGTACTTAATAGTTGGAATTGGTAGCCCTTAACGAATAAACCATAGTTCAACAGTCGTAGTATTACTAGTTCTCATATAAACAATGTGATTCAAACCAAAGTTCATAAATCTGTACGTGGTGAATTTTAACAGTTAGTATTATAACAACTCTATCTACGTGGTCTAAGTAACTCATTTATCAAGAGATTTGGTTAAATTCCATATGGTTGATGTCTCAAAAAGAATTTAAAATGTATTCAAACGTTTATATCTATTCAACAAAAAATCATCCACCAGGAGATAGATTTTACATGATTTCAATTTCGTGATTTTACATAAATCACTGACTTCTGTTTGTTCAAATAGTAAAATCAGCCAATTATGTTAAATATCACATATAATCGCACTTTTTTAAGAATTAATCGATAAATAGGTATAATTTTTCATGTCATGAAATAGAAATTTGATTTCCCTATCTGGTAACAAGTCTGTGTATATTTACATGAGACTTTCATTACCTGGACAAAAAGATGTGAACATTCCTAAAAGAAGAAAAATAAATAATAACTTCTGTTATACTTTGTAGAGTTGTCGTTGTCTATTGTTTTTTTCTTAAATCTTTAGAAAGATTTGTGTTGGCTACCAATATTATGAATGGTCTAGATCGTATTTTCCATTGTTTGTTTGAACTTAGACTTTAAGATAATGACTTCATGGATTTTCACGTTTTGTGTATATCTGAGGCTACCGACCCAGATTTTGGTGATAATGTAGTGAAGAAAAACACATGAGGACAACCGAATTATATTCAGCTCAAAACTACAGAGTTACTTGGTAAAATAGAAAAACCATACGATAATACTTAATTTGCAAAATGTTCAATAATTGTCTCGAACTTCATTGTTCTTGCATTTCCATACTAATTGCTTTCTATTCCCGCTCTTCCTTTCTTGATCTTCCCCATCTTCTGCCGCCAGACATAACATCATATACTATTTATATCAATATAAATAGCACGCACCACAATATCTGGAATTTTTTTGACCGATTTGACCTACTTTTACTGCCTTAGTGATGGATTCTGAGACACGATGTTTACACTACTTATTGAATATGAGTAGCACAAAACAAACATCATAATTTTGTTTTGAATATCATACTTGGCTGATTTGATATTTGCACAAAACTGATAGCAATTGTCACTCAAACCAAGATATGGTATTCTCGTTCCAAAGTTTTTTTTTCAGATGAGAATACCTAATTTGCTATGGTTGAATCATTTACACATGAATGATATTTTCAGTGAACTTGATGTTCATGTCTGTTATTGAAGTGTTCGAAGTATACTTCTGATCATCACATAACAGTGGAGTTTCTATGACTAGATATAACAAGAAACTGAACTTCAGAGAAATATTAGAATACATTTCAACCCAAGGTAGACAGTAATGAAGCTTTCCTATTCATACATAGTTTCAAACACTTATGATCTACTCAACTAGTCAATGGTTTCAGAATAAAATTATTGACAAAACATTGTTTGTCAGCATCTATGATACAACTCTACGAATTGTCGATTTAAGTAGCTTTTATCGTCCTTTAAAAAAATGAAGCGTGAATAAAACGTCTTTACATTTGTAGCATCTTTATCCTATTTAGAAAGAATTAGATTGATCTTTTCTAGTAAGATTAGGATTACTGATTTCACTAATGTTTTGATCAGTAGCTCTACCACCTTTCTTGTTCACAAGAATTAATGAAAATAACCTTCAGAGTAATAACCAGTGACCGTCAGATTTCATTTAAAAACATACACAAATATTTGTATATAAATGGAAGGACAATGATTAACTTTTATAGTATTATAATCAAAACTGTCCGCCATTTCTTCCATTATGCGCAACTTTCGATTTTTATCATCACAAACTTATTCATGTACACCAATCTTTTATCTTAAACAGACTTTGACAAAAATGGAAGACGCTAAAACCGTTCTTTATAAACAACTAGAAAAAACTAGAGCTAAACTACAGCAGGTCAAGTCGGTAAATGTAAGTCAGTGAAAATATTCACTTATTTTTATTACTATTAAATCATTTTTATGAACAATGTAAACAAAACTGTATTTTAGCTGGCTAGTACTTTAATATGTACTTTATACTCACTTGAAGTTGTTTTACTTGTGTCTTCCCATTATTATTTAGGACTACAATTGATCAGTCTTATGTTGGCTCAGGACTCAGTAGCTAGGGGGAGAACGCGATAGCGTTTAAAGCGAAAGGTACTGGATTCGAGTCCCAGAGTGTACATCAACTCTGAGATGCAGGTACATCCAGTTGACGAGTCCCAAATAGGACGAGATACGTGTTCTAGATTCCACTGCTAGCAACTATCCATCTGTACTGTTTATGGATTACTAATAAACCTTAACACATTGTATACAACATTGAATTACACTCATTACATACGTACATATTACTCACGTCTAATTGAAATTTTAAGTAATCTTTTTTGACAATATAGTTAGTTTGACCAAAAAATTTCGTAATTTTATTTAGAAACTATGAATTTCCTTGTTTCCGCGTCAAAGGCGCTCTTGTCACTTTCATGTTGTATTTCCCACTGGGAAATATCTTAAATGCTATTGGTCCGTTGCGTCTTTTAGTATGCTATTTGGTAACTCTCCCCAAGGACGGTTTTGCACTGTAAATATACGTTTTGAATTGTGTTTGTTGTTATCGCTCGTTTCTGGCTGTTTTGCAGAATATACTTCCCATTCCAAGCTTGGACTTCTCCCTCTAGTTAGTGGGGCTGGGACGCATCAAATAGCTAGCTTACTGGTCTTTGGTCACCGAGTCTTGTTTCTCGTTTGCAGATTAGGTGAACTCGTGTTAGCTTCAAACCTAGCACAAACTGAGAACACTTTTTTTTACTTGTAATTATCAATTTAATAAAGTTGTCCCTAGATTGTTATTACAGAGCTGATTTGAACAAAATAAATAAGAACAGTACATTTATCTTTCAGTAATCGATAAATTCAGGATCTAACATTATGCTTTAATTTCGATTCAGATTGTAATCACATAATATATAATATGCAAACTTTCACAAAATATATAAGATTCATGACTTACTTCTATGTGCTTTCAATATAGTTATGACTGAATTAGAGTTATATGAAATATCGAGTAAATCTCGATTGATTGGTAACATGTAAAAAAGGTAAAATGTTCTGTTGTCATTAAAAGAAATATTCAAAAGATCAATGTTATTAACTTATTATACTTACTAATAATCTGTTAATCGTATAATAATTCAGTAATCGAGCAGTTAAGTATTTACTTCTAATCATAACAATCAATTTTATGTTTTTAGTTAAGATCTTGAACCGATTGATGTTTGACCACCATTGTAAACCTGAAAGCACTGGAATACTGTTTCGTCCTATTTTGGGACTTCTCAGTAGTGCGCATCCACGATCCCGCTCGCGGGATTCAAACCCAGGGCACTACTGAAGAGTCCTACAATAGGACGAGTTGACCATCCAGTGCTTCCAGGTTTTCAATGATGGTTTAGCATCAATGGGTTCATGATCTGAATCAAAAACTAGATAATCTCCACAACTCCTATACTGATAATTAATTTTATGTATGAATTTGAAAGTCGTTTTTTCATGGGGCGGGGGGTGTTATTATAAATTAGATCTTTTTATTCACTTCGAAAAATAATACTAATTTTTTTGTTATAGTATGAACAAAATGACTTATATTAGGAAATGAATTATTTCTCAAAAATTCTGTCCAAATGAGTTAAAGGAAACAGGGTTTTTTAATAGTCACCATTTTTGACTTTTTGAGACACTTCTGAATGATGGATAGTAAAACTTACGTTTGGAATGGTTAATTCCTACTAATGCACTTTTGAAAAAATGTGTAAATTCCCTTATTTTTCATATATATCATGGTTGGTTGGAGCGGGGATGAAACATTGTGCTTTCTTTTGTCTTCACGTTAGTTGAGTCATGCGTGATTGTGTTGGAATATTCAGAAAAATATCCCAAAAATTATTCTGTTAAGCCTAATGCTATCCTTGGACATGAAAATGCTGTCATCCCATTGGTCAACATTCATTTAATGTGTCATTTTCCTACTGGTCAATATTATACAATGTTATTTTCTATTTTATGGTACGATGTGGTCTGCTTGATTAGTATATAAACAGAGTGTGTTTGAAATATAATGATTCATATATCCGAGGCTGAGACTTGCGTTCTGGACTCAACTGGCCGGGCTAGACAGGGAAGCGGGACCAATCAGAACGCTAGGCCGTTCTACGTGTTTGCACGTCTTTGGTCCGATCAATAATTCTCTATCCTCTAATCTGCTGCCTTCACAGTTATAGCAGATTGAGAGCTTAATACAAGTTTGATTAAAGTATATTTGTGTTGCGTTTACAGAGTGCATTAATTCTTGTATAAAATTTTCTAATTGCGTAGTTAGTATCGTTCTACTAGTAACTTCGTAATTGGAATCAATGTTAAGATTGTTAGCATAATCCAATCAATAATGAATCATTAGAAGCCAAATAAAAACAAAACTAAAAACGGGTTTACCCTTTTTATTTAATGTCCCTATGTATTCATATTCATAGTTCTACTTGTTAAAAAATATGAAGAATGTTAACCTGATGACCAAAATCTGAAATATTGTATATTTTACTACTATTCAGCTTAAGATTTTATGGTTGCCGTCTGAAACCGGTAAAGATTTTAGCATCTTAACTATCCGGTGTGATTGACGTAACATTAGCCTATATCTTAAGAACACTAACAACCTGTTGAGATGTGAATGTTATTCAGATCTATCATTCATTGTATTTCAAGTGAATATATCCGGATTACAAATAATCTCATTCTATACCCATTGTCAGTAAATTCAATGGCGTTTATTTATCGGATTGATTTGTTTTTGTTTTCACAGGACTCTAATATGATTGCACTAAAAGAATTAGTAGCAGCTCAACGAACTTATTTCAATGAATGCAGACAAAGGACTGAAGAACTGTCTGCTCAAATGGAACGATTGAAGTAAACATGTGTTTTTCGGGAAGAAAAGAGATTAGAATAAAATAAAAACAAAACGCCAATCTTGTGTCTTCCCCATGCAACAGTCACTCTATACAACTACTCTATTGAAGCTCCAATAATAAAAATGATTTTTCAGGCTTTTTAGTCACAAATTCTTCGTGTTTCTCATCGATTTAAAACTGCTCGTTTTTTTTCTTGGGATGTTAACATACTTTTGCCGTTCAGTGTATATTTATATTAATGTCTATATTATTTGCCTTATAACTTTCAATAATATCAATAATTACATTATTGAATTCAATAAGGGATTCACTTATTTCTTTTCAGTACTTTCATAGCTATTCTTGGATCTATATTTGTGTACGTGTGTTTTCTTTTCTGGTTTATGTGTATTTTCATACATTTATTGTGTTTTTTTTGGGGGGAAGGGGTAAGTTGGTGTTGGTTGATTGAAAATTTATTCATTCTGTTATAAGTATGACTTCTAAATTCCTTAAGTGGTATTAAAACTTATGGGTTATTTTATGTTAAGTGTTTTTATCTTACTGACCAAACAGTTTTCTGGTTTCACAAAGTATTTTTAGTTACCATCAGTCCATATTGGAAATTAACTTTGTTATTTTATACAACAGAGAAGCAAATCATGAATGCTGGGATTTTATAAATAATTTTCTATATGAGATGCTGGTTGATAGAGAATCATGATAAAATATTCATTCGGATTCATCTAATCGATTTACTGTCATTGAGATTAATCAATTTTTCTAAACATTAATTAGGTTTACAAGTAAAGATGGATAGTGGCTAGCAGTGGAACCCACGACGCGCATTTAGTCTTATTTCGGACTCAGCTGGATTTACCTCTATCTCAGAATTTTTGTCCACTCTGGGACTCGAACCCAGTGTCGTTCGCTTCAAACACCATCGCGTTATCCATTTAAGTACTGAGTCGTGATAGCCACTTGCTTGTGCAACGGGGTGAAATTATTTTGACTTGGCGTTGTTTACTTGTATCTTCCCATTGTTATTTATGACTGCAATTGACCAGTCTATTGTTGGTATATATGCATCCTGTGCGGACTGCCTCGATATTGCCTGAAGACTCAGTGGCTAAGTGGAAAACGCGATGGCGTTTGAATTGAACCGTATCGGATTTGAGTCCCAGAGTGAACATCAACTCTGAGATGCAAGTACATCGAGCTGACGAGGACGAAACGCGTGTCGTGGATCCCACTGCTAGGTGCTATCCACCTTTGTTTATAAAGCTTGTGACAATATCGAGGCAGTCCACACAGGATGCACATATACCAACAGGAGACTGATCAATTGTAGTCCTAAATAACCATGGGAAGATACAGTTAAACAACACCCAGTGAATATTGATTAGGTTTCTGCGAGAATGATTTCATAAATTGGATGGAAATAATATCAAGAGGATATATTGGTACAGCTATATGACTTTGAAATGACTCGGCCGGTCATAAACAACATAGAACTAACACATGTATGCATTGGGTCAAGGTACATTACCGCAACTATTTGAAATTAACCAGAGGAATAGTGAAGGAGTCAAAATTTTAGTAGTTTCCATGTTACTAAAAGTTGAAGGTTACGTATGAAAGATTGCCAAAACATAATATATGGAGGAAGATGAAGTGTGAATATATCTCGCCGACGGTTACCAACTTTAACTCATGTCACACAACATGATTATCTCATAAACCCCCACCGGATAGCATACATTTACCAACATGTCATAGTCCGCTATTCAATGATTTCATAGATCTGTGAAGTATCTTGATTTAGATACTCCTAGATATTTTTCAGCCTACTCTTTTCCCAACCGGTATCGAAATATGTAGTGGTTGTGGATATGCAATACATGTTTTAGAGACCTCAGTTACTAGAAATTCATAGCCTCACCAATTGATTTAGTATATTCGCCTACTTCCGACCTAAGTATTACTAATCCCTCTGTTCCACGATACATAATCAATGATTCGAAGGCAATTATAACCAAATAGTGGGAGTAGACAAGCTTAAATTAAATACTGAATCGTTACCAGTTAAGGTTTGCTTGTTTGAATAGTTCCGACCAGGTGAATTCACTACCTATTATATTGAGCTACCATTCAAAACATTTAATCAAAAAATTCCTGTAGCATACCGACGAAAATTTCCAACCGTGAAGTTTATGTTTTGTATCTAAAACCTCTGTGTTAAGAAAGCAAGACTGTTACAGGATGTTTTCTTAAGAGAACCACTTAAGTCATCATTCACTAGTGGAAAATTAATGGCCTTCAAATGCCTTTTTCATGTTAGTTGGTATTCTTCAGTTAGCGGAGCATATCTGAAATCTTCGGAGAACTGACACTGCTCATGGATTTCGGGATCGTGTCACATAGTGTTGTAGTGAAGATCACTGTCGCTGAGTTATTTGGGTAGACAGTTTACTTTAAAGCAATAAAATGAAGTCACTTGTAAAACGCTTTCTTAGTTTCTTATCGAATATATTTCACTCGAATTAAGACAGCGAAGTCATTTGGTCGAAGACAATATATTTCTTTGCTTAACCTGTGATGTTGTTCAATCGAGAAGCATACCATTACATTACTTATCTTTTTTTCGTTTAACTACCTCATATTACAACAAATAATGTTGTATCCTGGATATCTAGGACAAATATTAGATTCTTATTTTTATCCCTATTTGTTTATCTTCTTCTACACTCGCTTATCTTCACAATTCACGTTTAATCAGTAAACTTAACCTGGTTAATTGTTATTTTCCATATGCATATATTCTCTAACCAACTTAAAAATACGATAACAATTTGTTAATGGGTCATTAAACTTCTCAACCACTCACCTGAAAAAAGTCTACTACTTTTCTTTAAGTTTAGATCGGTATC